CATGATAAGATGTCCACTGCAGTAACCGCTGTCCCTGGAAGGGCTAATATCTTTGCACAATATTAATTTCTAATAGTGTTTTTTTTTTAATCCCTAAAATGTTCAATGGATATTTTTGAACCAATATTTTCTTTTTATTTGCTGCAAATATTGATGTATTTTTTTTTTCCAAAAATATTTTTGTCTTTATTTTTATATGACATTCTTTTCATCAAATGTTTATGTATTACTTTTAGTGGTCATACTGGGTTTTTTTTCTTTCAGATTTTTACACTCCACTATCCAACCTTTTCATTGTTTGTCCATCGCGCATTCGAGGTGCAAAAAAGGTGGCGGCCATGTAACGCCGTTGATACCATGTGACTGAAAGACTGTCCCAGTTTTGTGTCATGAACAAACTGGAATATACAAGCCATGTCCCAATGGCAGTAAAATGGCAAAAAAACAAATGCTGGAGTTGTACTGAATACGGCGCTCACCGTGGACAGGCGAGGCTGCTGATGCAACAACGTTAACAAACTCCACAGGTTTCGGCATGATGAATAAGCAGAATGGAGCGACAAATTGAGCAATTTCCTCGGCGGCACGACGGCGCAACAAAAGTGATTGCACAAAACACTTCCACAAGGTAACGCATAACATATTGAATTTTTGTGTGAGAGTTATAATGTATTGAAGAAAACTTGATATCGACATGTATCAATGTATCAACATGTATCATTGATATTAACATTGTTTTTCAGCCTTAAAACTAAAATATCTTGATATCAACATGCAAGATATGATTCAGGGCACCAGATATCCAGGCACAACGCTGGTATCGGCATGTATCATTCCAATTTTGTATCATTGTCTTGAACAGATCTTTTTTTTTTTTTTGGGGTATCGACATTGATCGTATAACTGGATTTAATCTGATTAAGGAGGCCAGCAAAGTAAGTAAGGAAGATAGAAATCGACATCTATAATTGTTTTTAATGATTTAAGGAGGCCAGAACATATTTTGAGCAATTTGAGGGGGGTGCTGTATATTATTAATGAGATCAAAGTATCTATCCATCCTTTCAAATATTCTTGTACCTAAAGAGATCAGACAATTTTCCTCAGCATTGACATACATAGTTGCGTTTTCCACCTAATTAAGGAAACCATCATTGGTATCGGCGTGTATCGCCATTGGGAGGGAGGATCCCGTCATGCCAAGCAGGCTGGTGTGTTGTTGTTGTATTTCCACACAATGCACGCAATGCAACGCCGAGAGCACTTTCCCCATCCACGGAGGAGCCAAGACATCCCCGAGCAGCCAAGAATAGCACCGACTCGCACACACGCGCACCCACACGCCGAGGACGTCGCTAGTGAACGTGCAACACGTCTTCCAACACAAAAAAAAAACGAGCCCACAAAGACCACAAAAGCTTGTTTTCCTTGAAGTGGTTTTTCAGTGCCCGGGAGGCAAGTGAACAGATTTGAAGATTGCGTTTGGTTCTCCATCACGGTTAATGACGACTCGGAGTATTGTTTGCGTTTGTGTGATGGATGCCGTGCGTTGCCACAGCAGAATAATAACAATAAAAACAAAATGAAGCTAAATGTAACTGCTGGTGTCTGACTGCGTTGTGCTTAAGAATATTGATGACGCGCGGCAGGATTTCTTGTGTTGGTTGCGTTTAATCGTCTCACTTTACAAAGACATCAGAAAGCAATGCCCCCCTTGTCAATAATATTGAAACAGATTACACCTCAAGAGAAAAAGGGGAGAGTCAAAGGCGGGAGTTCAACTGAAAAGAAGCAATGCCACATTAATTATTCAAGTAGGGGAACACATCAAAATTTTTGTCCCGCCCTTTGATAATGGAGGATACAGTAAAAGAACACATCAGGTATTTATCTTTTCACATATTTGGTGTAATTATAATGCAGTACAGTAAATATGACCAAGTTTTTTTTTTTTTTTATTGGCCCTGCGTCAACGAGTCCTAAAACTAACACTGGACCTGTCGAAATTGAATGCTGAGGTTTGATTTACAAAACGCCTTGTTTATTTTCTACTGCAATGAACTTTTTATTTCACGATTTTACATTTGAGTTATCGTCACGTCTCTGATGAAGCAGACCGGAATAACGATACGTGTTGATTTCTGCTCTCCTTAGTGATTAAAAAAATAATAATATAAAATAAAATCAAAAAGATACATGTTGATGTACAGTACATCAGTATCGAGTTTGAAAAAAATGATACATGTCAATATTTGGTCTCCTTAACAAGAGTAGATATGAAACAATGATACATGTTGATATCAGCACTTTATTGCGATATACAAGGATACAAGCTGATATCTGGCGTACTTAATCAGATCAAATAAAACAACAATATGATATATGATATTTGGTGTGCTCCATGATGATTTTCTTAATTACATTAAAAAAAAAAAAAAAAAAAGATATTGTACGTGCTGATATCAGAAGAACAAAACACGACGTTAGTGCTCACCTCATTCGAGGCAAGCGCCTTCAACAAGCCGCGGTCGGTCAGCAGGTGCTGCGACCCATTGACAAGCGCCTCCAGACACACGACCCGAATGCACTGTGAGAAGAAGAAGAAAAGACAATCTTTATTGGAGGAAATTTTCGTGGCTGTGATTTAAGGCTCGAGCATGACAATGATGGAGGATTTGCCGTGTGAAAGGTGCGACTGCTTGAGATGCTGAAAACACGGCACCAAAGCTTCCACATGAAAGCATTTATACGGACCAGATGACATCAGATGCATATTTTGCATTTTTAGTGACAGACACATTTTTTTATATGATCACGTTTCAGTGAATATCATATTCAAACGAACAAAATGCATACATATTCACAATATGTATGCATTTTGTTCGCTTAATTTGGGGTGGGGGATATCCGAGAATATGTCGCACATTCATATATTTGCTTTTTTTAAACAATAAGATGGACAACGTATACAATCCAGTATTTTACATTTTTTTAATGACTGACATATTTTTGTACTTTTCATTTTTGTGCCGTTTTGGGGGTGCGGCGTTTCAAAGTGGGCACGAAAGTGGAGAGTGCGCGACGGGTGGCCGCACAGATGGAGCGAAAGACAAAGCGGAGAAAAAAAAAAAAAGAAAGCGGGCGAGAGAGCGAAACAGATGGTGGCGGAGAAGAGGAACTCACTGGGAGGACAACACTGAGTCAGTCGCCGAGACGCAGCGGGGGGGTGGGGGGGTGGAGAGAAAGATAGAGAGAGAGAGAGAGAGAGAGAGGTGACGTGGCTGCCAGCGTGCGTGCCCAAGCGAGCAAAGAAAGCAGGTTGCCGTGGCAACAAGGATGCGAGATGAAGGATTTGATTCCAAAACTGCGCCGGGAAATGATAACAGATGTCCCGCGTTGTGTCAGCATAGGCTGGAGGACACGAAAGGTGACTGAACACACCACCAAAAAGACATTCTCCACATGAGATTGGTTGTACGTGTGCCGCCTTCACAAAAACGGGGACATTTCTTGACCGAGGAGTCAAAGGACTCCATGGTGGACACCAAGAATGCTTTGCAGGCTGACGTCGTGTCAGACAGCTGTTTGCTTGGCGCAGACACAAGATGTTTTTTTCCTTCTTTTTTGACAAAAAATGCTTATGAATTAATAATTTAAAAAAAAATACATATATACAAATATATATATATATATATATATATACACACACTTTTTCATATACACTTTTTCAGTAAATTTTAGTCGCATTTTATTTTCTGGATAAAATCTTTGTTTTTGGAGAGAGGTGGTTTTTTTTTTTTTTTTTGGAATGAGAAGAAAAATCATTTTGGGAAATTAAACAAAACCTTATTTTGTGCACCATTTCTCCCTGGATGAAATTATTTTTCAAGCCTTTTTTTAATCACTTTTGATAATAAAAATTTAAATTATTATAATATTTTAATATATATTTTTGAACATTTGTTCATGGTTTTTACCGAACAATTTATTTAACCCTTTCAGGGACAGCAGTTACTACAGTGGACAGCTTATCATGTTATCATGTTACAAGTTATCATTATTGGTGCATGAAAGGGTTAATATTATACATTTGTACATAGTTTTTACAGAAGAAGTACAGGCACATTTCTTTCAATATTTGTTTTTCCCCAAAAATCGTTTTGTTATTTTAACAGATTTTTGGTAAATTAAAAAAAAAAAGAGAGATTCAGATTTTCAAGCCCCAAAAAATCTCAGTGGTGTCCTCTTTGAACTCTATTGCTAACCAAAGCAGCAGCACCTTGCCAAGCAAGTCAAGTGTGACGTTTCGACATTCTTGACTGTCCTCCCAGCATCGATGTGACCCCGCTGCTAATAAAATGGAAACACAGGAAAACTACTGCCAACTGCGAGTGCATGTCTGTGTTGGAGTGAGTGAGTGAGTGAGTGAGTGAGTGAGTGAGTGAGTGAGTGAGTGAGTGAGCGAGGCGCCCAACGACCTTGAGTAACCTCGGCCAGTGATGTGTGCCGTAGGCCCGGCCGGCTGCTGAGCGCTACTGCTGCGAACGACTCCGCTAATGCATCGATTGGCATATGTGTTTGCGCGCGTGCACGCGCGAGAGGGGGATAACGTCATCACGAGAGCAGGGCGCTGGCTGGCGGCTTCCTGCCACGAGCATAATGTGAGAGGGTGATCTCATCTCACACATTCCCACAAGGTCAGAGACAAGCGTGCTAAACGATGATGTCATGCAAATGCAGACGATGTCTTGAAATTTAAATAATGGTTGGTTGCGCAGGTTTCAGGGTTCCTTCAAATAAAAAAAATAAAAAATTATATATATATATATATATATATATATATATGTGTGTGTGTGTGTGTGTGTGTGTAATTATTTTTTTTGGGATGAAATTGCATGATGTTCATCATTCATTTATCTGGATATTCCTTTTAAGTAATATTTTTGATGAATTATATTCATATATACATATATATTATATTTTTTTTTTCATAGATTTTTTTTATATTTTATTATGACATATTACATCTGCATTTTTCCTGATTTTTTTTTAGATACTACATGAAATCAGATTATGTGTTGTTTTTTTTTGTTTGTTTGTTTTTTTTTTTTTGGTCAGCCCATCTGTTTTGTAAGGAGTCTTTGCATTATTGAGAAAGAAAGTATTTGAACGCCATTCCCGAGTGCATGTCGCCCTGCAACAAACATTTATAGCTTCACGCACACACACACACACACACACACACACACTAAAGATTAACCGGCTTGACAGGCCGTATTTTTCTTGTCAGCATCTCGTCAAAACAACTAGAAACGAACGCTCGCAGACGACCGCAGCGTACTCCGACGGGCTGCCTCCGACCGTTTATGACAGCGAAATATGTGTCGTGTTCCCCCACCTTTGCAGGGTTTGGCCTAAAAAGCAGATGAATCCTGAGCCTGCAGATCCTGCGTACACAAAACAGGATGGATGAGTTCACCGTGCGTGTGTGTGTGTGTGTGTGTGTGTGTGTGTGTGTGTGTGTGTGTGTCGTTGACATGCACGCGCACACACAGGGGGGCCTGTTGCTCTCTGCCTGTTATACAATCCATATTGTATAACAACTGGCAGCGAGTAGGCGGCTCCCACCATCTGGCGAAATGAAACTCCCGCCGTAGCTCGCTGCACACGCCGTACGTCGACGTGTGTCTACCCGGCAGCTAGAAATAGTAACAGCGTCGCCAACAAGCGGCTGGGTTGCAGAGTTCATGCATACAGTGAGTTGAAAGGGAAGCGGTGGGCAACCTGCGCGCTTTGTTTTGGGGTACGCCAACTCATGGCGGACATCACGATCCAGTCTCAAATTCAACTCAGGGTATGAATTAAAAAAAAAAAAAATTGGGGAGGGGGGGGCAGGCTGAGGAACTCTTGGTAAAGGGCAAAAAAGGAACGTAAAATGGCCGTTTCAAACCAAGATGGCGGACGTTATGTGTCTTTGAGCAAGTGGCTTCGGGAGACTTTTTTTGTGGGTATACTCATAAATTTTGATGTTTTGAAGTGAGACTGGCTTCAGAGACTGAATTAAAATGAAAGTTTAGGATGGTGCGAACAAGCCCAAATTACTCCTTTCAACTAATACAACTAGAACACGGGTGTCAAAGTCAAGGCCCGGGGGCCAGATCCGTCCAGCCACATCATTTTATGTGGCCCGTGAAAGCAAATCATGTATGTCAACTTCCATGATCCTTGCTAAAATCAGTATTGAAATTTCAAATTGTCATGTGTAATAAATAACGATGGGGTAATTTGGGGGGGTCTGGGGGTAATTTTGTTACCCCGTTTACCCTTACTTGAATAAACTATATAGTTGACTTGAGTGATTTCAAAACTAGCAAGCCATTCATTTGTTGTGTAGAAGTAATGATACGCTGAGACGATTTTGTTATATTTGGTTTCACTGTCGTAGCAGCCCTCCGAGGGAAGACTTAACTTCAAAGTGGCCCGCGCCAAAATTGAATTAGACAGCCCCGGTCTCGAGAGACTTTTTTTGGGCCTCTCAGTCATGATTGACATGCCCACCAAATTCCACGTTTCCAATCAAAACCGGATTCAGGGGCTGCATTTTGAAGAATAATTCGCGAGACATTTTTGTGGGTGTACTCATGAGGGACATGCAGTCGACCAAATTTCATGTTACTAAGTGACACAAGCTTTGGGTATCTTGATTTTTCAAAAAGGAACCGAGCGAGCCCTGAATAAAAACCTGACGACAAGACATTGCCTCAATCAGGTGTTCTTTCCTCCCTCCAAGCTGTGAGGTGATGTGTCAACACATTCATCATCAGCCTGAGCGGAAGATGTATCCGGCATGTTTCCATGGCGACGCAAACAAACAAGACGCATCTCGCCATTAATGCTCGGAAGCAACACACACTGGGAATACGGTGACGAGAGATTCCACTCGATCAAGAAGTCAGCCGTTGTTGCCATGGCGAGGAGAAGCTATTTTAAGTTGAGCGACTCCGCCCCCTGCCCCCTTCTTTCTCACACACACACACACACACACACACACACTCAATGCAGTCTACAAGACGCTTTAATTAGCATTAAAGACGCTAGTAACACAATTCTCTAATATGACATTTTTTTTCCATCCACAAGTAATCTAAGGCGTTGGATTCAGATCGTCCACTTGGATGGCCGCTTTAGAGCGCATCATCGTCAGTCGTGAGTGTGCGCACGTCAGGGGAAGAAGGAGGAAGAAAAAAAAAGTTCAACGTGACAACCGGCGTGTGGGCAGGGGCTTCGCGCTAGCAAAAGCTGCTTTAGAGTGCCTCGTTGTAGCGCCATGGAAAATTGCCGCGAGGATCCAGTCGGACATTTTCTATCCACTGGAGACTTTTTAGACTTTAAGCTTTAGTTTTGCAGGAATTATGAGCCCACTCCGACAATCCAGTTGCTCCACATTGAAACCTTATCAAGTATCCTGCCAAACACTGGAATGGAGAAGACACTCCTTGATGTTTTTACATATCAAAGTAACGAATGAGTTATGACCCGCGGGGTCACGTCTTTCACCACTTTCCATTTGACATCTTGCATTTCGCTTCCAAATACGCATTGAGCATGTCAACAAAAACAGTCCTGTGAGCAGTGCGCACGCACACACACACACACACACACACACACACACACACACACACACACACACACACACACACACAGCCAAGCTATGTACAAAACAAACGCTGCTGTCGGTGATTCAGTGCGACTCGGCGGACTGACACAAAAGCATACATGCACTCCTGACCCACTTCCAACACTATTTTGGGGCTGGGGTGCACCCAGTCAAGGCGGTCTGATGTCAACTGAAATGACACAAGCTCGGCTTTGACATGACACACCCAGACGATATGCACCAGCGCTGACAGCCGCAAGCATATCAAGGAGGCTTACTGTGGGGAAGGCCGCCGGGATTCATTGGGAATTATTGTCATCGCCGGCTACCGTCTCCGCCCCAGAGAGAAACGGTGGGCGTGGCTGCTCGCCATTTACACTTCAAATAAAGAGACGCCAGCGAACGCACTTTGTTCTGGTGGATTCTCGCAGCCCAGTTGGGGAATATGAAAATCAAAGCAGAATTTGCAAACATGCCCTGAGGAGGACTTTTTTTTTTTTTTTTTTTTTGTCTACAAAAATGTGAGCGAGCTTTAATGAGGAGGTTCAAATGGGGCGGATGCAGAAGAGGGTGAAATAGAGAGAGGAGAAGGAGGTGAGAGGATGAAGAGGGATGCTCACGGGTGATGAGGGGACAGGAGACAAGCCGCCATAGGGTCAAGAGGAGTGAGGAGAGGAGAGGGACATGGACAAAAAGAGAAACGAGGAGAAAAGAAATGGGAAGGGAACAGGAGAAGAGAATCACTCATTGCCGACTCCCGATATTGCGATCCTTCGAAGGAACTCTCCCGGCCCACGGTATAAAACCCCCCTCCGTAATAAAAAGGAAGTAGGCTGCTTTGACAACAAGACGGCAATAAAGAGATGGCACCTCAGCGGAGGACGTAGATCTACATGGAGGAAGAGGCGGAGCTTATTGCGCCGCCTTGGTTTCTTGATGCGGGTGGAGGGCAAGCGTTCTGCTGGGCTACGGCGCCGCGGGTCCAAATGTGTCCGCCTTCAGGGCCTGCCAACATTCCCTGAAGAAGAAAAAACACAAAACCATGTTTACTTGGACACCAAGTTGATAATTCCCCATTGGAATGAAAAAAAAAAGTCCATCCAATCATTAAAAGGGGTGTGGCCTAGTCAGGGGTGTGGGCTAGTGAGTGACATCTCTAAATTGACACTTTGGTCTTTGGGTGAGCTTCCGAAAGTGAGGGCCGAACGTCCGTCAGCAACCAAAGCTCGCCTTGCCTGCCAAGCTTATTAAAGTTTATGAAAACTAACGTCCAACAAAAACTAAACTTAAAAAAAAAAAAAAAAACATTTTCGTTAATGAAATAAAATCAAAGAAAATACTAAAAAAAAAAAAAATAGTGAGAACATTTTACGTTAACTAGAAGTCTAAGAAAAATAATATTACACAAGATGTTTCAGGGCTGATTTGAAATTGCTTGAAATTTATTTTGGTAGTGCTGTACATTCATCCAGAAGGATAACAGTCAGTTGATTTTGCTCCGCAATACTTTTTTAAAATGTTTTTAAATAAATATTGCACTCTACAAATAGTCTAAACAAAACATTAAAACTAATACTAAAACTAATAAAAACTAAATCAAAATAAAGCATTTTCGAAAAAGAAACATCAGCAAAATTTCTGTAAAAACTAATTAGACCTCGAAAAAAAAAGTCGAAATGAACTAGAAGGAAAACCCTCAAACTATTATTTTCCCACCACACGAAATTAACTTCAGCACTTTCCACATCAGCCCAGCAGCTCATCCTTCCAACTTTAAATCTCAAGATTACAGATTTCACACAATCCCACTGATGCTGTTCCAAAAACTCAAATAAAATTAATAATTGAGAAAAAAAGAACAAAAGAAATGCATTGTAAAAAAAAAAAAAAAAAAAAAAAGGCCAATTGATGTAATTGGAATGAATGTTTTGTTTTATTTTTTTTGTCACCTGCTAGTCAATGTGACTCTCTTGTCATCACACCTGTGAACGAGCACACAAAGTTTTCCTTTTGACTCAGCAATTCTGCGCGCACGCTCGTGTGGGTGTGCCGCACATATGAAAGACGCTGGCGGCGAAGGCTCCAGTTAGCAAGGACGACACCCGCAAAGACGTCGGCGTGCCCTCCGAGCAGTCCTATCGCTTTATTTCAGATGGGCCATCGTGTCAGTCATCTTCATTCATTGCACAGCTGATGTTTGACACGCAAGGAGGTGACCGCAGTACGCTTTGGGTTGCATAACTTGCCTGCCAGTCGTTAGTGATGACTTTAAGTGCAAATTTCAGTGCTCTGATTGAAAAAAAATGTCTAAGTACACATATGCGGCCATGAGGCAAGACAGTGGATAGATAAGATTTCAAAATGAAAGTGAACATGGAGGAGGGGCGGAAGTTTGCATGTCCTCCCCATGCCTGTGGGGAGGACATGCAAACCACCTCCCCATGCCTGTGGGGGGGGTTTAGTAAATTAGTAATAAATAAAACTTTTTAAAAGATAATTTGTTGCCAAGTCAAACTGTCTTCAGGAGCTGAATTGTCAATCCATTTTCTGCCTCGCTTCTTAGATTGCGAGCACGCCAGTCCCCTCTCTCCACCTTCCCCTTTCCTCGACGCTGGTGTCCATGGCAACATGTCACAACATAGACCTTGCGATTCACCGGCGTACAAGAAACACGTCACTGAGTGCAACCGCCAATACGGCCGCCATGCACGATCAAGTGGATTCGATTGGCAGAGGGTGCTTAGCAGTGGGAAGAGAAGGCTTTGAGAGGCCCTTGGGGAACACACATGGTGAGGGAATCTTCAAAGACGCGCACACACACACACACACACACACACACAGAGGGAATCTTCAAAGACACACACACACACACACACACACACACACACACACACACACACACACACGCACGCACATATCAAAAGTGCTCTGCGCAAACAAAAGACATAACGGCTACCCACGCAAGCATGGTAATAATCCGCTGCCTTTTGATCTAACAAGTCTCTGTGGTCCTCTCTAATTCTCATAGTGTAGTTGCCGCAACACACACACGTATATGATCCTAATATATGCCTACATGGCATAAAAGTTGAGCTAAGTGAGCAAAATTAGTTTTTACTTTTCACTCTAGAAATAAGAATGAGAATAAGAATAAGAAAACCTTTGTTCGCCTCACAATGGAGAAATTCCCAATTTACAGCAGCAAAGTTATGAAAGTTAGAAAGTAGATGAACAAAAAGGACGGGAGCTTCTGTAAAGGCAGCCACTTTCGCGGCGCCATCTTGAAGTCATAATAACAGAACAAAATAATACAACACAACACATAAGAAACAGAGAGTCTCTCCATTACAAATACTCCATTTGTTTTAAAAAAAAAAAAACCTAAAACTAAAACCGATAAAGCTATATTTCATCTTATTCAAAACTTCAGTTGAGTCCACTTGAACTCTTTTGCTAAGCAAAACAGTAGCACCTAGCACGACAAAAGCCAGTGAAAAGACACAGGAAGTCGGCCATTTTGGACCGAAGCAGCCATTTTAGGCCCAATTTGCCCATTTCCTGTGGTCAGAGCACAGACAGGGATTTTTTAGGGGGCCCTGAATGCAGTTTGACTTGGTAGCCTGGTGTTTATCATGCCCAGACCTGCAAAAAAAAAAAAAGTCTCAAAAGGCCATGCCTAAAAATACATCGGAAGTTGGGCATTGTAGGTCAATTCTAGCCATTCCCGGGAGTCCTTCAGGAGTGAAAATCCACAAGGTAAGAGCACAGACGAATATTTTTTGACATTTCAGCACATGACGACATAGTTAGACTCTGCAGCAACAAATTTGCTCAACGTGCTTCTTGTGAATAGACCCACAAAAAAAGTTGAAAGAAGCCATGCCAGAAAAGACACGGAAAATCGGTCATATTGGTTTGAAGCAGACAATTTAGGGTCGTTGTAGCTATTTTCAGGGGTCCAAAAAAAGATTTTATCCCATCACTACCACTTTTTTTGAAGTCCTCTATGATGGACAGAGGATGCAGAATGACGACAAATTTGAGTTTTTGGTTGTGTGTTGATGGAGCATGGCAGCAAGTTTGGATGACAAAATTCTCAAAAAATTTTTGCCTCTGCCAGTTTTACTTAGCAACATTAAATTCCATGCAGAGACCAACAAAAACGTTCTCAAGAAGCCACGTCTGAAAAGACATACAAAGTCTGCCATCTTGGTTTTGAAGTGGCCGCTTTAGGTTTACTTTCTCGGGGCAGAAATGTTGTCCCAAGGCCTCGAAGCGCAACATTTGGACACTAAACAGATGGCGAGCAGCAAGTGGTTGCAGAAATGTCAAGAATTTCATTGCCTGCTCGCTCGCCAGAAATCACATTTTATTGTTCTTTCTGCAATTTACAATGTGCCTTTGGAGATCCTAGAAGTGCTCCTATAAAATCACCACTGGATCAACTTACCAAATATGCTTAAAAAAAAAAAAAAAAAAATGCCTTGACTCCTGCTGTCTCACATGAACTTCTCAAACAAACAAACACGCAAGCAAGCAGGCAGGCAGGCAGTGGCTCGCTTTTCATCTCAGCATCAGGAGCTTAGCGCTCAAAGCGAGATGCTACTGAGCTCCCAGACTACGGAGCGAATCTCCGCATCTCGTGCAGGTCCAGGCTTTGACAGCGCGGACCGCCGCGGAATGCTAACCTGGCGAACGAACCGCGCTGACCTTGTGGCCTTGTTTCCATAAATGAGTGTCAGGTGGCGGAGACTCAATCAGTTAGCTAAGTCGCTAACTAAACTGACTTGACCGACTAGTAAATATTTATTTTTTATTGAAGGAATTACCATTTCTTGTTGCTAGGCAGATTTCAGAGACCTCCAAAAAAAGCGCACGAACGGCGCTGACCTCGTGGCCTTGTTTCCATGAACGAGTATCAGGTGGCAGCTACTCAATCAGTTAGCTAAGTCGCTAACTAAACTGAATTTACCTATTAGTATATGCATTTTATTTTATTTTTTTGAAGGAGTTACCATTTCTTGTTGCTAGGCAGAGTTCATAGACCTCCAAAAAAGGCGCACGAACCGCGCTGACCTTGTGGCTTTGTTTACATAAGCGAGTGTCAGGTGGCGGCTACTCAATCAGTTAGCTAAGTCGCTAACTAAACTGAATTGACCAACTAGTATATATTTTATTTATTTTTTTATTGAAGGAGTTCCCATTTCTTGTTGCTAGGCAGAGTTCAGAGACCTCCAAAAAAAGGCGCACGAGCCTAGAACAGATAAGGGGCCCGTTCGCTAAGAGTGTAATCCATCCCCGTGTCAAAACGTTGGCGTTAATTGGAGCATTAGGAGTGTGGAGAAAGGGCCTTAGCTCATGGCCTGGAAATGCTTCGGTAGCCGTAGCGTTCACATGGTCGGCAAAAAGACAAAGCATCAGGCGCCGCTGAGGTGTTTACAGGTCATTGTCTTCTGCTGCGCTGCGCCACGTGGGCTTGGGGGGGGGGCTTGTTAGTGTTGCCTGCGTGTCACATGGCCAGGCACTGCGGGGTTGCCGGCAGCACCAAGGACACCCTTGAGCCTTGACGACACACGCGCACAAGCAAATACATTTTTGTGGATATCCACGCGCGCACAAGCAAATACATTTTTGTGGATATCTATTTTGGTATCAATTTAGATCCAAAAAATATTTTAAATTATTAATTTGTGAAAAATGATTGTGATTAACAATTTGTGGAAAATTATTCAAGTTTTATCACTTGCTGATGGAAAACTATGTTGCAAAACATAATATAATGTGTGCTGAATTTTTTTTTAATCTTATATTCTTTTCATTTTTTTATTTTGTAGTTTTATTATTAAACATTTGGCGAAAAATAAAATTTTACTTATTCTGAAATGCATGTGGGCAGGGAGGGGAATAAGCATTTGTAGGAAAAAAATATTCAGTGCAATGTTATTTGTGAAAATGTGATTTTTTTTAATGTCATTTGTGGGGAAAAAAATTATTTAAAAACATTTTTTTTTAAACTACATTATTATTTATTTGCGCAAAATCATTTGACAAAACAAAAAAACTGTGGACATGACAATTTCCTGTAAATGGGTCTCCGAGTCAGACTGATGCTCCCGTTCGATGATTTGGTTGCCATAGCGCAATTTATCAACCCCGCATCAGCACCCAAAGATGAGTAACATGAATCAAAGCAAAATCTTCAAACGTATTACCAGGGCTGTCTCAGGTCAGCCAACTCACACACACGCACACACACGCACACACACACACACACACACACACACACACACACACACACACACACACACACACACACACACACACACACACACACACACACACACACACACGCTTGAATGTCTGCATGATTAAAAGAGTGAAAGTGGGGCGGACGCACACTTGGAGCTGTGTGAAATTGCTGCAGTTCCTGCACACACGCACGCTCCACACCCCTGGCGACTTCACATGAGCGTAAATTGCAGTTTGCCTTCTTCAACACCTTCACGACACGACGAACACACTCGGATCATGTGACGCGCAAACAAGCGCCCCCAAAACGCCCCTTGGACTTTTCTGCATCAACCCATCGACGGATGATCAGCGACTTTTCGCATCTGAGCAGCTTTCATTTTTTTTTTTTTTTTCTCTGGGATTGCGCATTCAAAATGCGGGGAAATAAAATCAGCTCGCGGCACTCCGATGTATAAAAAGCAGAATTTGAAATATTTCCTCCAAATAAGATGCCAGCGGTCGCGTCGCCCCGCTTTAAGAAATTACAGCCACGCCCCAAATCGATGCCAAAGGAATGAAGGAAGAAAGTTTGCCAGATGTGAGAATGGAAGAACTTTTTTTTGAAAAACAACACAACATATCCTGTCCCACTTGTGGAAAATGATTACAATTCTACCCTTTAATGTTCTTTTCAAACGAACCGATCAGGTTTTCCTCTGAAAAGCCGAATTGCGTGAGCAGTGCAAAAGGGGCTTTTGCTTCTGGAGTTGCGTTTCTGGTTGCACACGTGACATTCGTGGCCAGCAAACAACACGTGTTTGTTCAGATCTCTCTTCCACGGACTGTTCAGGAGCGTCTCCAGTTTTGGTAAGAGAAAGTCAACAGTGTCTTCACCTCTCACTTTTTTTTTGCTCTCTCTCTCGCTCTCTCTCTCCAGCCTCTCTGCGTCTGGAGTGAGTGACTAACAAATGTTTGCTTGTGTCGGCAGCCTGAGGTCATCCTCGGAGAACAGCCCTCTGTTTTTCCTGATGAGGCTTAACCACGCCGCAAACGAGGACGCCAGCTTACTACTTCGACGAGGTGTTATGAAACCGACTCTTTTGGAGGATTACGCAGAAACAACAATTTCAACCGCTCGAGATCAAGCGGCTATGAGCACTATTTAGTTTCGGGACAAGGAGAAATATTCTCGGAGTTTTGTTGTTGGAAGACAAAGCATCAGTTTTGATCCATGCTCCACACACACGCATGCATGCATTCACAAAAACTCTTGCCAACTTGAGGTTGCTCATTTGTCAAGTATATGTGGCTCAAATTTGGTCAAAATCTCGAACAAGAACCCTTAGGAGATGACGAAATAACAAACTTCCTGTGTGTTTTCCGACATGGCTTCCTGAGAATTTTTGGTGGGTCAGGTCATAATCGGACATGTCTAGCAAATTTCACGTCGCTAAATAAAAGTGTCTTTGGGGGCTGCATTTTTAACCAATTTGAAATGAACCAAAATGACACGAAAATGGCCACTTCATACCAAAATGGCAGACTTCCAGTGTCATTATGGTCAAATCTTCTAAAGACTTTTTGGTGTGCTTACTCATGACATGCAATATGTTTACCAAGTTTCTTGTTGTCAAGTGAAACCGGCTGGGTGGGCTGAATTTTGAAACATTTCTGGGAGCCAAATAGCAAAAATGACCCTAAAACAGTCAGTTGGATCTAAAATGGGTCTTTTCAGACAGGACATCTTCAGACTTTTTTTGCGGGTCTACTCATGATAGCCAGGCCTACCGTATTTCATGCTGTTCAGTCAAGCTGTTTTCAGAACCTGGATTTTTAATCAGAATTCTAGAGGGTACCGCTGATCCAAAATGACCAATTTGACCAAAAATAGCTTTCTATGTCTTCTCAGTAATGCCTTTTGGAGATTTTTTTTGGTTTGCCTACTCATGATAGACAAGTCTACCAAATTTCATGTTCCTGAGTGAACCTGGATTCGGGGGGCTGAAATTGTTTTGTTTTTTTAACTCCAATGGATGCTTGCAAGCTGGTTTTTAGTGATCAGGCCTTCAAAAATTCGCCAAAAGAAGCTGAATTTCATTTATTTGGCCCACGATTAATCCTGATGAAGAAAGACACCAATTTTTGAGTTGCCTTCACTTTGCCCTAAGGAAAAAAAAGAAAAGAAAAAAAAAAAAGATTCCAATAAAAACCTGCAAATCCAGCAACTTCTTAGCAGCCGTGTGCAAGCTTTGTGGGGATTACATCATCAGAGGTTTGCGCAGTGGCGTCAATGCGAGTTCTTCTCGATTGGTGCTCAGGGGAAGGAGGAGTTGATGAAGGAAGCTTGAGTGGAAGCACTTTCTCTCCTGTCTCACACTTTCTCCGAAAGCATTTTGGAGTCGCTATTTCTCCGCGATAAACATCTGGAGGAGATTAGTTGAGGTACTGTCCGTGCAAAGTCGCAAATTATCATTTTGCGAGTACACATGGTCCTCGCGGCTCCAAAAGCCAAGATACTTTTGAAGGACACAAATGAGCCGGTTCATGAATTCCATTGACGGCAGCCTCTTCTCATTGTGATAATGACGTCGAAATGTGATTACAGTTGCTCTCTGCATGACTCGGACAAAGAGTTGCCATTTTTCGTAACTCTTCTGTAAAGAGCAGACTACTGGCAAAAACATCAAGGTCAAAAAGGCAAAAAGGAGCTACAGTGTTGTTGGATGCGCAAATGAGCGTTAGGGCTGATATCCGGCACGTAATCGCGCTTGAGAGGCTTTGATGAATGGTTGGGATCATTTAAACACCCGCCGAGTTTGAAGGGAAACACATGGAAAGCGTCCACGCACATGGAATGCTCTGAAGCCGTTTCTCCATTATTCACCTAGCTTTCTAGCCAGCTTTTATCTGTATTCAGCCAGCTATCATTTTCAATTTAGCGAGCTAGCTAGCTAGCTCTCTCTTTCTCTCTCTCTCGCTCTCTCTCAGAAACGATATTGAACTTGAGTGCAGTAATGTTACTTAGCTAACGATCTTTTTCAATTTAGCGAGCTAGCAAGATAGCTAGCTCTCTCTTTATCTCTCTCTCTCTCTCTCTCTCTCTCTGAACGACATTGAACTTGAGTGCAGTAATGTTACTTAGTCCACGATCTTTTTCAATTTAGCGAGCTAGCAAGATAGCTAGCGCTCTCTTTATCTCTCTCTCTCTCTCTCTCTCTTTCTCTCTCTCAAACGAATGTCGTACTTGAGTGCAGGAATGTACAGTATGTAGCCTAAGTAAGTCTTTGCGGTCTCCAGCCATAATGATGACATCGTTGACCACATGCACACCCTTCAAGTGCGCCTAAATGCGAGTGTCTCTGGAAAGGGCTCACTATTACCACCCCCCCGCGATCCTTTCAGCAGTGTTTTGGTGGCGTGTGCTGTCAGCTCGCAAATGCACTCACTCGGCTCTCCATCTCGGGGAGTCGCGCAGGGGGTAGCGTGGGGAGGGGGAAATTTGCCAGAAGAGGTAATGGCCATTCATGTAGCGTTAAAGCGAACCGACTGGGCAAACGCCTGAAAACCAGAAGCACTCTGCAGAGAGGGGGTGCAGCTTTTCAATCAAAAAGTTGCTCTGGTGGTTTGGGTTTTAAGGCTAATAGATTACAAGAGGCCAGATAAGCAGAAGAGAGTCTGCTCGCTATTATTTGATTTTATTGATTTATTTGTCACATCATATCTGATGTACTTTTTTTTTTCCAGGAAGGAAGCAAAAACAAACAATTAAAATAATGTGGTAGCACAAGTATGCACGCCATCTGACAAGAAGGATCTGGCTGTGTTCAGCATTCAGATCAACCTCAAATAAAGTTCAAATCTTCATTTTTGTTTTAATTGAGTCGTACAGTTTTATTATATTTTTTTAAATGGCACAAATATTTTCGTTGTGCTGTCATGGCATTCGACAGTTATTAAGTACATGTTTTTTTAATTCTATTTGTCATGATTTGTTTTTTGTTCAGTGCTCAGTACTGCATAAACATCACGGAGAATCCGGCTGCGGTCATTTAGTTTTAAAAGCACCATAAAGGCGCAGAGACGAATTAAACAATCAACCTTGTGCACTTTTATGCACAGAGCCATCAAGTTCCTACTTGAGTGTAACTAGAGCAGCCAGAGACGTCTATGAGGGCCCACCGTGAAGTCTGCGCAGTCAGAGTGACTAAGTGGGGCTTCCACCTCTAATTTGTTTTCAAACTTTCCCAGAAAAGCCATTAAAGAGGAACCCAGCGGTAATCATTTCCCGTGATGTCAACTTTTCTTCTCCCCACCGCAGGTATTTTCCCTGGGCCGGCCCACGACGATGGACGGCTGCGTGCGTGCGTGCGAGCGCTGTCTACAAAGTTGTAGTTAAGTCAGCCTGCTTGTACTAACTCTCACTCACTCACACACACACACACACACACACAC